ATCGAGCACTTAACTCATTTCATCACAACGTTCTAAATGCAAAGTGGGGAGGGGAAGAAAAAAGCAGCTTTCCTTCAAAAAAAAAAATCTGTTATAAAGTAATAACCATTCACAGAACCTCATGGACTAGTTTAACATTGTTCTAATAAACCTGTGGTTTTGAGTCATTTTACTTACATTTTGGGGGTGAAGAAGGGTAGTCATCCTTGAAAAGCATCCGTAGTTTAAATAAGCCTCCTTCCCATGGTGTCTACAAAAAGTTAAGGTAGATTTTAGATTTCAGCACGTCAAACTTGAGGAAAAAAGCTTGTCAAGAATACAGAACACAAGACATCCTTCTGCTACACAGTAGAAAATAGCTGTCCTACACTGCAGCATGCTGTCTAGACTGAGACAAGTTTTCCTACCTATATAAGGAGCTGATGAAAGAAACCCCTGCTTTTCCACTGCCGTACAGCTAGTAAGCGTTGCCAAGTCATCGATGGGGATCATTGCCAATAATTCCATATACAAGTAAAATTTGCATAGTACATAGAAGAACAGAATACTTCTAAAGTTTTACATGATACACATGCAATGAGGAAGGGGCCATTATACTCCCACTTAAAACTTAAGTCTGAGAAGATAGGATATAGATACACCCCATAAGCACGTGGAAGTAAATGGCTTCTATTTTACCTCACGAGAATGTGGCTAAGAAAACCACAAATGAACAAAAAATTCGGACAGCACTATAGTATTGCTACAGTTAATATGAGGTTCACTAGTCTAACCCTGTCTGCATTTGGTAGCAAGTAGTCTCACAGACTCTGTCTTTTTGTGTAACAGAAATTCTAAGATGCTTTTTATCCCCATCAGAAACTGGGAAGAGCACTGGTAAGAGCAGTTCCCATGCTACAAAGCACACCAAATAAGACAGCACTACTCAAAAGGGTCATATAAAGAAGGAAAAACATCCAGCAAAGGACAAAAAGCCTGTCTCAAATACATACTTCCTTGTCATCTTACTTGGAAATAAGGAAAAAAAGCCTATCTTCTGACAAACTGATTTTTCATAAGAAGTGTAGAAATGCAGAAGAGTTTATTATATATGTAAAATTCAGATCACTTCTCTGTAACTTGCCCTTGCTATGGAAACACTGCAATGAAAGTAAGTGTTGGGTTTACTTCACTTTGTTTTAAGGAATGAAGATGGTCCCACATCTTATCAGCATAAGGACTTAACACCACTTTACTTCAATTTTTGATCTGGCTGACAAGAAGGCATTTTGGTGGTTTCAACTACTCATCTGTCTTAGGGGAAACAGCTGCAGTACAGCGTGCCTCCAAATACAAAGGCAGGAGAGAGCAACTGTTTGGTCTGGTAGAGATGAGCAAGGCATGCTGCTTCTTGTTAAAGAAAAGGCATTTTTACTCAAGTAAACCCCCGATTTTTAAAATAAATCTCTACCAGGAATCACATGAGCATAACAAATCTTTTCCTGGTGTAATGTGTTTTCTAGGAGGCAAGAAGTTGCCTTTAAGGGTCTTGTTTGCTCCATTTTGTGGTTTACAAAACTTACAAAATCTTCATGCTACTGCTTATATGGCATGAAGGTTTTACCTAAGTATTTAAAAGGTGACATCTTGATAAGGTACATAACTGGCTATTATGAAGGATAATCTTGTTCTAGCAGAACACAAGGGGATGAGTTTTTCCTTAGACTGTTAAATTTTTTTTAGGTGCTTTTTTAAGAACTAACTTGAGCTGTGCAGACAGCTACCAATGTATTGAGCTAAGTTATAAGCGTAACAGCAATGCCATGTTCAGCATTAAACTGAGGCAGTAGTACAGAATCTGCAGGTTTTATCTACACACTTTGTCTTCTCAGAATCTAAGAAACAAGATCTTAAGGGGACTTAAGCAAGCTGGCAAGAGGCAGTAGAACAGGCAAAGCAACAAAAGAAGTCCCCCATCCAATGTAAAACACTAGAGACCCAAAAGAATGAAAGCCACCAAGTAATTAACAGTATTATCTCAGAAGAAACAACTGCATCCAATAAATTCAAGAATAATCTCTACATGGTAAGTAACATCTTGAAAAACAGAAACCAGATTCTGCTCAGAATGAGATGTTATAATGGCAGTGTACAAAATCAAAGAACTTTCGTGCATGAACGACTATTTCCACTTGAAAGTTTGCATTTGTCCTGTTCCCTAGAACCAGATCAAGCTGATAAAAATAAACAATTCTTGTGTCTACAGACTTTTTCCTTTCCCTTGTTATTTTAATGAAAGGGACAGAGAAGCACAAATCAAATCAGATAAAAAGAAACAGTGTTAGAGAGTTCTATTCTTCTTTCCCTAATACAAAAAGAGAAAATTACATAAAATGAAAGGCAATGAGATTCCACGTTGATAACACAGAATTATTTTCCATGAAATCCAAGAAGTTAAAAACAGTGCTACAGCAATTCTCTAGGACCGAAGGGTCTCACTATTTTGTGGACAAAAAAGGTACCAGCAGTTAACCAGAGGCACCATTTTGGTGGTATTAATTCTCAAGCTTTAGGGCTTAAACCAGCATTTAGTAAGAACAGAAGTCACAATAAACCCTGGCATGAAGCAGAAGACAATCTCAAGTTAGCTCAATGCAGGATTCTTACACACTCCTCTGAAATCTTTTATTCTTAAGGTGTTCGGTGCCAACAGTTGAACAGGCTCACGGTGTACTTGTCCAATATTGTTCTTAGCCCGCTCCACCTGGATTCTAAAGTAGCAGCAGGATCCAAGCATTTCTATTAAACTACATATAAGTTATACTCTCAGTTGTCAGTGTAATGCATGAGCAGGCTTATGTTACTTTTCACCATAAGTGAGATGTTAGGACAACAGTAAGTCTTACCCCTTTCTTTCCTGGAATAGCACACTCCCAGTTCATTAGATTCATTGTGCCATCTGGATTTTTTGTAGGTACTGCTACAAATCCCTGAATTAAGGCAAAAAGCCAAAGGGTGAGGATTTCAGAAGATGTACTTAGAACACTTCATGACATATTTTATCTTTACACAAGTTATTTCTTTTTGCACTACATAGTTTTAAGCAGCTTTATTTAAAAAAATTGATTTAATAAAAAAAAAAAAATGACATCAGGGTAAAGGGAAAAAAAAAATCATCATCAGAACACCAGAATAACTGCAGAGTCAGAAATTTGACAGTTCTCATACTTACAAATGGATGATCTTTTCTCCAGGCTTTTCTCTCCTGTGCAAGTCTGCTAAGAGCTATGCCAGACATATTCAGAGTCCCTCTAAAACAAAAATAATTGCTTTTATAGCATAAACTTCTACTTACAGTGTAAACAACACATTATATTATCTGTTTATAAGCCCTGCTCACTCGGAAATATTTTGGCCTCCGATTTTCACCACTATAGCCAAGACACACATTTTTGCACACCCTGCAGAAGTTAGCATCAGGAATAACATCAAGTTTCCCCATGTCAACAACCTCTTAGTTTCTGGACTTGACCTACAAAATACTATCCCCACCCTGTGTTTTATATTTAAACCACATCTTAGAAACAACTTTTGACAGTAGCTTGACAACAGAAACACTGTTAGTAATTGGAAGGGTGCTCAGACTTCCTACTTGTGCGACTGATAAACACCTGTCTATCTCCTTACTATACCACAAAAGGTATGGCTTTCTTCTGTAGGCAAACACCTGTACTGTTCCCGTTTCTGGCAGACAGGGGAATAAGAAATGTTATTTTTAGACTGTAAATTCCCATTGAAAGCCAGTACTCTATACAAAAGCAACACAGGCACAGAACTTAACAAAATCACCTCAGTTTTGCAGTGATGCCACTACAGAACTTCTAGACAGCAGCAGGAACAGACAGCAATAGAACTGAGCTAACGAAGAACCAGTGGCCCACTCATTCCACAAGGCAAGTTTTCAATTCCAGTATAAACCGAATGATCTTTCTGCACCTTCACTGCCTTAGTAACAGCCAAGCATGGTGACTGAGACTGCAGAAGAAACACGCAGAGCACAGGTCACTCACTACTGCATACGATGCAAGAACAGTTCTAGACACAATGGTTGCAACAGAGCAGTGCTTTCAAATTCAGGGGAGGATTCTCCATTCACCCAGAACAGTAGTCAAAGCAAGAGTTTATTTTTCATTGTCAAACTGTATCTAAACTCAGGGTTTCATTAGCCACATGGTCAAAACAAACGCCAATGAAGGTTTTTAATCCTCCTCCCTACTGCACTTCTACCCTTTTTAAAAAAGAGCTGATACTTGACAGTTGGAGAAGTCAGGCCAATTTGTTCTCAACTCCACATGTAGCTAATGAGCCTTTATGACAGCCAGGAGAGTAGAATTCTACCACTAAACAAGCTCACAGAATAAATGGAGTGTTACCACTCTATTAAAACATTTAAACACTAGTCAAGAATTATGCAAAATTCACATTCTATTAATATATAGACTACTTGTAAGAGTATTGCAGGCTACTACTATAACCATACAATTGTAGCTCACAAAGATCCTTGTTTTAAAAATCTCACACAGTCATGCTATGCCCTTTACCATGATGTTCATGCTGAAAAGATTTACCAGGCACTGACCTATTCCATGTAAGATATGTAGATACGTTCATCTCGTGTTAATCTGCTATACCTTTTAAAGATTAGAAGACAGCACGCTTCCAATTTAAGTATTCACACATCATCAAAAGTGCCTAAGTAGTGCAGACACCTTAACTAAAGGTCTTCAAAAGCACCAAATTAAGAGTTTTATGCAGTTCCTAGGACAGGTGGTATTTCAAATTCCTCCTTCTAGCTTTTTTCCAAAGTCAGTTTTACATGGACAGCCGTAATCCGTAATTTCAACTTCAGCCTAGCAATTAAATTCATGTCAGATAAAGCTTTTTAAAAGGGACCATTAACACTCAGTAAACACGCACACAAAAAATCCTATATGCAGTCCAGTATTCTTCTAGCACACCCAACACACGCATCTGTATCTCGGTTATGTCAGAAGATTTGCAGGACTTAGTCAACACAAACTGTACATACCACTTCAGATTTTAGTCTGTTCACATGTAGGAGATACAGAGCCACTGAAAAGATACCGTCAGAACAAAAAACCCTCTCCCTTAACCAAATTATACAGGGAGTAATTTGAAATATTTTGTGAGCCCATGCCCTTGCAACAGATGTAAATGAACTACTGAATATATGGCAGAATTTCAGTTGTGCTGTTAGTACCCGGTGGTCCACTGTAATAATACTAACCTTCCCACAATAATTTGAGAAAATTCAAATCCCATTCAAATAGTCCTAGATAGTTTAGTAACTCAGCTACCTTTTCTGCCAAGAAACATATTACAGGGTGCTTTCAAACACATGAATTTTATTTCCTGTGGCTAACAGCCAATTAATTACATGCACCTCAAGGGAAACGCCAACTTCTCAGAGGGCATATAAACAACATATGTCCTACAGAACATCACCAATCAAGTAATTTTTCAACAGAAAAACCCCAAGTTTTCAGGTTCCGTATCGTGCCTGCTTTTGCAACCAGTTATGCACTATACTGCGCCTTAGTAAATTAAAGATTTTGTTATGTTCTGTGAACACCTTTTGAAATCTTGAGTCATTTGACTTAGTTAAGCACTGACAGACTACATCCAGAATTTCAGTGTATGAGACCACAGGCTTCAGCCACCCTGACAAGGGCAGACAAGCATCTACAAACTACCACCAAGTAGATATGAGAGACAAAGACGACTGAAAGCCCACTTCAAGAATTAAGATCCCATTAGATAAGCTTCCCCTCAAAAGCAAATCAATCTGTTAACAAATTGCCAATACATCCTCTCTAGCAGCTCTTCAGTAAAAGAATTTAACTTTAGTTCTGCTGGACAAACAGAAATTGATCACCTCAGTATATATTTTGGTCTCAAAAATAGTAGCAGAAAGGAGTGATATACTAAGTGGGAATTAAACTCTAAGATATGATATTCTCACTGCTACTTTTACCTTCTTCAATAATTTATGTGCATGATTTGGTCCCCCTCCCCCTTTCTCCTTTAGAATAGCAATTTGCCCAAATATCTCTATGTTAAGTTTAGCTCCTGTAAACTTCTGAAATACCTCACAAATGCAAGACATCTCTATTAACCTGAAATAGTTAAAATTTAAAAAAAACAAACAAAACAAAACACCAAAACCCAAACACCACACACATCACCAAAACCACACAAACAAAAAAACCCCAAACATCCCAGTTCTTGGGGTTTTGTTTTGTTTGTTTGTTTTTTTTTTAAATATCACATCTGTTTTCTTCACCTGAGAAATTTACTGCTAATGAACAGAACTGAAGTCCCAGTGTATTTATGCACTACATCACTGGAAAGAACACAAACTTTTGCACTGGAGGAACTACATCAACCCTACCTTGCAGAGGCCACACAAGCTTAAGAGACCAGTCTTCACATTTTGGTTGGTTTTAATCCCCCCAAACATACCCCAGCACTAAGAGGTAGCACTGTCCCTTTTACTGCTATCAACTCATGAGAAAATTAACAGAAACTTCCAAATTTACTCAGTAGCAGCCTCTGCTGCTGTTACTACTACCTATTTTGGAAAAAAAGGCAAAACAAAACCAACACAGTCATCATAGGCGCAGACTTTGTGTTCCATTACAGATTATCTTACCCACCTATACCCACTAATAGAGGAGAGGAAGGAACCTACTTCCAAACGCAAAAGCAAGTCTTGCAAAAAAGCATTCCCGTGCCACAGGCACAGCAATCACACCCACAATTCTGAGCCATGACAAGTCTCTAAATATATCAAAACATGCTCTTTAAGTCTCAAAAACTTTCACTAGCTCTTATTAATTCCAAATAACAAGAAAAAAATAAATCGTTAAGATCGCTAGCCTCACGTTTTTACTTTGCAGGTTAAATACTGATACAGCAAGAAATTATCGGTTGGAGTAGTTTGCCCCAAAACTATACAAACTTTACTTTTCAGAAGGGTGGAGAATGCCAGGCGCCGAGGTTTAATCAAAGCACGCTAACTCTGGAGCGGAGCAGAAAGTCTCCTCCCGCCTGCGGCATGAAAAAGGTAGA